CAGGAGAGGGTCTGCAATGGATTTCAAAACCACAGAGGTCAGGGCGACGGGTCTGTAGTCATTTAGTTCAGTGGTCCTTGGTTTTTTGGGGACAGGGATGATGGTGGAGGCTTTGAAGCAGGCTGGCACATGGCACGTCTCCAGTGAGGTGTTAAAAATATCTGTGAACACCGGAGACAGCTGATTAGCACTTTGCTTTAGGGTGGATGGAGAGACAGAGTCCAGCCCAGCTGCTTTGTGGTGTTTCTGCCAGTATGTTGACATCCCTCTCCAGGATGGAAAGAGAGGTGGAGGACTGTGGCCAGTCAGTGGTGTGACAGGGGATGGTGTCAGGTCTGAAAGTCTGAAGCCTCTCCAGACAGAAGCAGAGCACCGCTTGCCAGCTCACGTGCATGCTGGAGAGAGCGCAGTGCAATTGCTTCCTATCTGGAAGGGCCATTAGCATTTAGCTTGTGGCATGAGCTGTAGCGTTAGCTTTGTAGCATTAGGATTTACTTTGTAGCATTAGCATTTAGTTTTGAAACATTTGCTTTGCAGCATTAGCATTAGCTTTGAAGCATTAGCATTAGTTTTGTAATGGTAGCTTTGTAGCGGTAGCATTAGCTTCATAGTGGTAACGATCACAGCTTCACAGCTTTAGTATTCACTTGTAGAATTTAGTATTAGCTTGTACCGTTTAGCATTACTTCGTAGCATTAGCATTAGCTAGCTAGCTAACAATGTTAATGTTAAGTGATTAATGTGACCTTAAATTGTACTTAAACGTAAGTCGCTTTGGATAAAAGTGTCAGTCCAGCAATTTGCCACAGAAGCCGTTGCCATGGTTACTCTCAACAGAGTGCCTGGCGTTTACTCGCCGAGCGCTGTCTCTTATCTGCCGAAGCCTCCCTCCACTGCTGATTTGCAGGCTGATCAACACCCCCCCCCCCCCCCCCCCCCTCCTGTGACCCACGGTTTGACTGTATTCAGAGCCAGTGAGCAACAGACTGAAAAACTGTGTTAACTTGCGATAAATCATTGTCGACATTAATTTATTAATTAATTAATTATTTTTCCATCTGCCATGTAGCAGAGTGGAAGTACAAGCTGCATCAAATGGAAATACTAATAAGTAAAGTACAAATCCTAGAAATGATTTTCTTGTTACTTTCCACCTCTGAGTATCTGATGATATGTGGTACAGCAGAGAGACTGACCATGGATCAGTGCTTTACATTTTGAACCGTCACAGTGAATCTTTTTTAACTCATTATAAGCATACAACAATACTTTTTTAGATTCAGCCTGATAATAATAACCTCATGTTCACATATTTGCAGGATGTTTAATAAAATGCAAATATTTATTTATAATCACCTAATGATAATAATAAAGCAATGTTTCAGTTCACACCACTGTTGTATATTTTATTTGTTCCAAGTGATTTTAAGTTTCATGAACCAAGAATATTCTGTAATGTTATATAATGTTCTATATAAGATTATAGAAGCTGAAAGTTTCATTTTGTTTCCTCTCTCAAGGTTTCCCAGGTGTCCCAGGATATTTGCTGTGACTTTACTGCACGGATGGAAACATTTAAATGACTGACAGCAGCCTCTCTGATCATCAAAGTAACTTGTTAATTGCATCACACCAATTCAGCTGCTATAATCATGATAAAACAGAGCAAACAGCTGCTGACATCAAATTATTATGCTGTAATATCAACCAGAGCGTTCAGACCTGATCTGTTTCATGTTTTAATAATAGTGCCCACGTAGTCTGCACGTTATTCCAACAGTAGAGTCCTGTGATGACAGCTGTAACTGGCTCTGTGATAAATGTCATTTCGTAAAGGGACCGATGATGAAACTCTCCTCATCAGGCTGAGGGCTGAAATTATTTCCTGTTTACAGACAAAAGGTGAACCACAAAGTTCATGTGTTTCTGTGTAGTGAATGATCAGGCTGCTGTAAGCTGGAACCTTGATGTTTCTACATGTTATAATGTTGACAGACATGTTTCTGGATTGTGAAGAAATGATCTGTAGCCTTTAGAGCCGACAGCTGCTCTGCTGCTCTGACAGAGATCACAGCTCTAACAGCGGACAGATGTCGCAGCTGTGCAACAGGTCACATTTAATCTAAGCTGCTTTGAAATGACGGCTCTCAGGAAAAGACATCTCATTTCGTTAAATGCCTGTTTCCTCGGCTCCTCTCTCCTCGCGTCTCCTCCTCGATTCCTCAAGCTCGCATCTCGGGTGGGAGGGACTAATACGTGCCGCGAGGATCGAGGAGGAAGGCGAGGAATGAGAAAGGCCCACAGTTTTGGTCTTTGTTTTCAGTCGGTGTCTCAGCTTGTTTCCTGTTTTAGTTTGAAACTGTCTGTTTTCTGTGTTTAGTTTTGTTTCCTGTCTTCCCCGGTTACCTTAACATGTCACAGCTGTGGTGAATCCCCCTACCTGCCTGTGTGTTGTCTGTGTCAGTATTTAGTGGATTCACTTCTGTCAGTCCGTTGTTGCTCCTGTAATCCTCATCTGTATGTTTGTTACCTGTGATGTTTGGATTTTGATTCTCACCTGCCTTTCAGTTTGGATTACTGCTTTTGTTTTCTGTCTGGAGGTTTTTGCCCTTGCCTTGTGAGAATATTACTTTTGTTCACAACAGCTTTCTGGAATCAGCTTCTCTCATAAATTTACATACTATGTTTTGTTAATAAATTTTGCCTGATGTTTTAGGGTCTTGAGTATTACTCTCTTCAGAATGGTGGGTTCATCATTACAGACACACACTGCTCTGCCAAGCTTTGTTCAAAGAAACATTTATTCTAGATTCTAGTACAGATCCCAGAGTTTCAGAACATTACAAATATGAACTACTTAATTACAGGAAAATGTGTAGTAATATCTAGGGCTGGACCCGAATATTCGAATAGTTGACCGTTGGCAACACATTTGATTTTCAATTTTGAGATGTGATTATTAAGGTTTTTTTCACACGCCTGACCTCCGCCGACAGAAGTGAACGTAACGCTCAGTTCACATCAAAGGGAAAATGAAATGAGCCCTCAGCTGTGTGGGAGCACTTTAAACTGAGTGATGAAAGCAGCTGACTAAACTACTCCCGGATTCTGCTCTGGACCTGCTGGATCAGACTCTCTCACTCTGGACTCTACGGTTCATCTGTTTTCACTCTGCCTCGCTCTTCACCTGCTAAATATGCGATCCCTTACTCTACATAAAGATTCCTCTTTTATCAAACTCTGCTAGCCTTTTTCTCCTCCTGTGTCATCTTAAACTTTGAGTTTCGAGTCCTAAAGAAGTCAAAATGTGCTCTTCACCAAATGTAAAACCATTTCAAAAGTTTTTTCAAGTTAAAATTAAAACAATGTATTGAACGAAGCAGAAAGAAGGCAGAGGTACAGTTTCACACTAATTAAATGCTAATTATTTTGGTCAATATTGAGATCACAATTATTTAACAGGATTACTCATCGCCTTAGGAAACATTGAACTATTGAAATGTAATACTTTCTTTTTAAAAACTAGGCTTCGTTGGAATCGTTGTCTACTTTTTCTCCTCCTGTCTTGTCTCCTTGTTCTCCTCCTGTCTTGTCTCCTTGTTCTCCTCCTGTGTCGTCTCCTTTTTCTCCTCCTATCTTGTCTCCTTTTTCTCCTCCTATCTTGTCTCCTTTTTCTCCTCCTGTGTCGTGTCCTTTTTCTCCTCCTGTCTTGTCTCCTTGTTCTCCTCCTGTGTCGTCTCCTTGTTCTCCTCCTGTCTTGTCTCCTTTTCTCCTCCTGTGTCGTTTCCTTGTTCTCCTCCTGTGTCGTTTCCTTGTTCTCCTCCTGTGTCGTGTCCTTGTTCTCCTCCTGTCTTGTCTCCTTGTTCTTCTCCTGTGTCGTCTCCTTGTTCTCCTCCTGTCTTGTCTCCTTGTTCTCCTCCTGTCTTGTCTCCTTGTTCTCCTCCTGTGTCGTTTCCTTGTTCTCCTCCTGTGTCGTTTCCTTGTTCTCCTCCTGTCTTGTCTCCGTGATCTTCTCCTGTGTCGTCTCCTTGTTCTCCTCCTGTCTTGTCTCCTTGTTCTCCTCCTGTCTTGTCTCCTTGTTCTCCTCCTGTGTCGTTTCCTTGTTCTCCTCCTGTGTCGTTTCCTTGTTCTCCTCCTGTGTCATTTCCTTGTTCTCCTCCTGTCTTGTCTCCTTGTTCTCCTCCTGTGTCGTCTCCTTGTTCTCCTCCTGTCTTGTCTCCGTGTTCTTCTCCTGTGTCGTCTCCTTGTTCTCCTCCTGTCTTGTCTCCTTGTTCTCCTCCTGTCTTGTCTCCGTGATCTTCTCCTGTCTTGTAAATCCAGATAAAAATGAAATATTTGTAAAGGATTTAAAAGTCAGCATATTTCTTTCAGCATTCACTGACAGTATAAACATGTAATAAATGGTTTATTATATATAGTTTATAGATATAGTTGTTAGCAGAGATGCACTCAGTGGCCACTTTATTAGGTACAGCTGTTAAATCTAATGCAGTCCAATACAACAGCTGAGCCACGAATTCTACCTTTACAAAGACACAACACATTCTCATCTCAGGGCATCAGTTACAGACGCTTTCAGACAGTGTGATGAAGCGTAGTTATTTGATGCTTAAAGTACCTTCAGCATCCTTATGGAACGCTGCAGTTTGTTATTGTGCAGCAACAAAAAGGAGGCTAACCCTTGCTGCTAGCACATCAGCTGTGAGACCGACAGCTTTAGTGATAGCTGGTCGACTACGGTTTAGGGCCGTTGGGGGGCTGTCAGCGCCCCGGTGGCGTCTCATACAAACACTGAAGGATACCTTCAGCATCTAATTACTACACTTTGTCAGCCTTTGTGAAAGTATCAGCATTTGACGCCCTGAGATGAGAACAGGCTGAAAGACAATAACGTTCAGTTTGGACTGACACTGTCAGAGAGATTTTCATGTAAATATTGTTTTTTTAAGGTTGTAGTCTGCTGTGATGTTATACTGGTCTACATCATACTGACAGGTCAGAATCATGTTGTTCACTCACTTCACTGATCCTTTAGCTGCTGTTAGTCTGTACCGCAGTCCTGCTCTGGTTCCTTCATCCTCTCGACTTTTCATCTCCTCCAGTTTCTGGACCTTCTCTGCGTCTCCTTTCTCCTTCATCTTCTCAATCAGGAAGTCCAAGTGGACATGAGTGGACAGTGAATCAACATTCAGGGCGATCTGATCCAGTCTGACAACATGTTTGAAGGACTTTTCCAACATCTGATCTTTTTCTTTCTGAAGTTTTTCCATTTGCTTTTCTAAAGTTTCCAAAAGGCTTGTTGTCTCCTCACATCCTGCTTTACCTCTTTCATACTTCTCCTTCACATCTTGCTGGGTCTTCTGAACTTTCCTTGTCTTGGTCACATAGATCCACTTTTCTTTCACATGATCTGATACAGGACACTTCCTGGTACATGAAGTGCAGCGGCCATCTTTCATGACCTCACAGTGTTTGAGACCCATGTGTGTGCATGAATAGTGACAGTTCTCCTCACAGACTGTACAGCAGACAGCTCCTTTAAACAACAGCCCCTTCCTCTTGATCCTTTCTTTAACTTTGTAGATCTCATCAACTTCTACAGTGAACTCTTCATTTCTCTTCATCTCTTCTTCATGTTTCTTCAGAGCTTCCTGAGTCTGTTGGTTTTCTCTCTGTTTTTGTTCAGTGAACTCAACTCTCTCTTTCAGGTTTTGGATGCAGGCTGTCAGACTGGTTCGTGAATCCAACACTTCAACAGTTTTTATCACATTCTGAGGCCCAGATTTTTCCATAAAGGCTGTAAATTCATTCATTCCTCTCATTGATGTTTCCCATGCAGTCTCTAAAACAGACTTGTTTCCCTGTGTTCTCTCTGTGTTCTGGCAGTTATCAAACAGGAAGTAAACAGGCTGATTCTTTTCATTTCTGGCACATTTCACTTTTGCAGAATCGAGAGCTTTCAGAACATTTTCAGGTATCAGACCATTTGAGTGTGTGATGAGAGCAACAATGTTCTTCTCCATGTCTTTTCCAAACAGAGACACCACTGAATCAAAGATGTACCTCATTCGGTCACTCAGTCGATTCACACTCGCTGTCAGCACCAGACCCACTGCATTAACCTCATGAAGTTCTCCTGAGCGGAACAAGTCTAATAATCTCTTACTGATGATGTCATCCTGTTTGATTCCTCTGGTGTCTCCGTATCCAGGAGTATCGATGATGGTCAGAGAGTAGGGCAGAGTTTCACCTTCAAAACCAAAGACCTGGTACACCATCACATCTGATGTCTGACTTTCTTGTTCTAGTCTCTCCTTCTCGTCCTCTATGATCTTAAACCAGACATCATCCTCCCACTTCACTCCCATGGCGTAGTTGACCAGAGCGTTGACCAGAGTAGATTTTCCTGATCCTGTTTCACCCACAAGCAAGATGGTTTTGTTTATCTTGTTCACATTTCTTTCACCGAGAGTCATTCTTCTTAGAGATCCAATGTTCTCTTTCTTTGGTCTCAGCTGGTAGACAGCAGGAGGTCCTGATTGGATCAGAACACTTCTGGAAATGAAGTCTTCATATTTGGATGAGGTGTTGCTGATACTGTAGAAAGTAGATAAATCCCACATTTTAATTTGATCTAGAGATTTTATCCTTCCCTTAAAAAGAATATCTGAATAAAAAGTAAATATATTTTAAAACAAAAGAAAAATCAAAATTAAAACATTAAAAACTATTCAAAAGGCAGCACATATCTTAAAGTACCCCTTCAGCATTTATTAACAATAAACATGTAATACATGGTTTAAATGACTGCAGAGGAGTTATGGGTAGATTTAATTATTAGTCCTGTTGGAAATTCATAGTGTGTCATACAGCAATTGTCAGAGCAACAACAAACCAACAACCAGACAACTACAGTTCCAAGTTCCGAGTGAGGCTAAGCAAGGTGATGCTAACACCTCAGAGCTAAAGCTAACTGACCAAGCAATTATGGAGCAAATCTTAGCTGAAATAAAGTCTGTGGCCTCCCAGGAAAATATATTGAGACCCCCCCACACCTCAATCAAACTGGCAGTGGCTCTATTATATTTTACATAGAACTACCATTTAAGTTAATATGCTGCACATTACAATATACATTTCAACGTTTAATGCTGTAAAACATGTAAAAAGAAAAAACTTTCAATAAATGTTTTTAAAGTTGTTAAAATTGTAACCCTAACCCTGGGTCATCAGTGCACATGCGTGTGTACCCCAGTAGAAGCTAACAGATTATTTTTAATGAATAAGAGACAGCAGCAAAGGTTATTACCTGTTTAAGACCTGGTGGAAACAGTTATATTATTCAGGAAACTGCCTCTGTCTACTGATAAACTGTAGAAAAAAGTTTGACATTTCAACTCTGGCAGCAGGCGGGCGTGTGCGTGAGACGAGAACGACCACGGCAGTTTCACAGGATTGTGCTAGTTACACAGAAGCCGTCGCTATGGTTACCTGGCGGAGCGCTTGTTTGCCTGTCTGTTGATGAGAAGCGCAAAGCGACCCTGGGGATCCAAGCCGTCTGAAAAGGCCTTATATAAACCCCATCACCCCATTCACAAGAAATTAATTTATAACTTGCCAAAACCATAGACACTGTATATACAGTGTATATACAGTGTATATAAGAAATGGACGTAGTCATGGTGACGTTACCCGCTGGCTTGTGGACTGCCGTTATGAAGCCTCGGGGTTTGGCTGACAGGGCGCCGCCATGTTAAGTTTTTGCAACCAGGAAGTGCCCGGACGTGACCATATTTGGACGAGACGGTTGAGCTAACAGCCTATGTGCGGAGCTAGCTAGCTTGCTTAGCTAGGTGCAACTGTAACTCACATTAACTGTCATTTTAACAGGCTGATAACAGAGAACAACAGGCTAAATGTGCTCACCAGCGAAAGTGAACAACTCCTAATAAGCTTTTTCAACATGACTGGTTAAATTTACACAGTGCCGAGGGTACGAGTCACTCTAGCCTGATTGACAGGTCACCATGGTAACAACTTGTCAATCATAGATAATCCCGCCCTGAAACATACTCTGCTTTGTGATCTATTTTAAAATAAATGGGACCATAATTTATCTAAATGAACATCATGCTGTGTTGAAACTAGCGACTGAGACCATAAACTCATCAGGAAAGTGTTTACTGAGGGAATAAATCAGCTGAGAAGTAGAAACATTTTACCATTATTTCTAATGGAGCCGGACTTCTTTTTGCAACCAGAAGAGTCGCCCCCTGCTGGTCATTCAATAGAATGCAGGTTTTAGGGATTTACGCATTCGCATCAGATCGCTAACGGTAAGCTTCCCGCTTGGCCAAAACCTAAACCTAAACATAAGGATGACTTAAAAAGCAACCATTCATACAGCAAAGTGTATATAGGCTATATCAGTGGTTTTCAATCTTTTTTGGGCCAGCGCCCCCCTATCCATTCCTGTTATTAAAACATGGAAAAGGTAAGAAAAAAGCCAGATACTGTTTTCTTGGATGGGACACTTAATAAGTAGCGGGTATGGGGTTGTTTGTGCTGCAGCAGCAACAGCTGACTTGAACAACATAAGGTCCGGTGCACAGGCGCTGTGCTTAAGTATTTAAAACTGTTGCATGCTTGTCTAAAAATACTATGAAGAAGCATTTAATGCCTTCAGTGACCTTATGCACTTTCATTGTACTGAGAAGACAGGAACTGGTGTCTAGAGACAGACAGGAAACATTACAAGTGAAAGACAAGGCGCAAGATAGATGGCAGTTCCTGTCTATCTTTAAGTAACATGTGATGCAGACCAAGACTCTGCTACTTTGTATGTCATGGAAAGCAATGGGTGTAACCAAATGTTTAATGTCAATTCTGTACTTACTGCATGTATTGATTCCTTGTTGCAAGTAAAACCTTTATTGAAAAAGACTCCAGTGACTCTGTCATTCTTTGGTAAAGATTATTCTAACAGTCGCGCATTCACGTCATGGATGGTGCGTTCAGGAGTGCAGCTTTACTTGGATTAGTAACTGTAATAATATTACTGTTTTGGAAATAGTAATCCGTTACATTACTCTTTACTTGGAAAAGTAATATTGCAGTGTTACTGTCCAACACGTTACTTACCACTGATGCGCGAGAGCGACTGTGTTACACACTGTGCAGGTGTGGAATGGGCAGCTGTACGCAAACAAACATCTTTGTTGATCCTTGGAAAGGAAGAAAACTTTACGCATGTCAGCCTGTAGATGTCCTCAAATCCTTTCCATTTCACTCGGCCAGCTCCTTGAACGCGCCCACCTGTGAAGGCGGCGAGAGTTTGTCACCGTGGGTAAAGAGCATTTTTGACAACCCCGAGTCTGCGTCTGCATTCCTAGATCCTCTTAAATAGGTTAACCTCTTCACCTCTAATGTTACCACATCTAATGGAGAAGGACGGATCTTTCATGTACACAGAGCCGAGGGTTGTTTTGTACACTTTTTTGTGACCACCATTTGGACTCTGAGAGAACAGTCTGTACGACAGTGTTGATTTAATTTGTAGCTCTCTCCCTTGGAAATAAGGTTTTTTAGTTTCTGGAGTGTTTCTCAGTGGTGTCATTCAGCCTGGAGTTTGGACACTGTTTTAGACATTGTTTTGTCTAAATTGTTACTTTGATCTAATTGTTAAATTAGGATTTCGACTATGCTTAGAATGCCCAGTAGGGGAGGGTAAGTGCTGCTATTCAAATTTTTGTTTTAGTTTCCTTTTGCTAAACAACTGGAGTCTAGGTTTACTCTTTTATATAACTGTTTGCACCCTGATTAATTCCTCTATACTCAATACCTGTTACTCATTACTTTCCAGCTTTGTGGCTCTTATGTCAGGTTCACTCAAACTCACTACTCTGAATGTCCAAGGATTTGGCCATGTAATTAAGAGGAAGAAGGTTTTAACATATTTGAAACAAATAAAATCTGATATAGCACTACTTGAGGAAACAAGGCTATCTGATACAGAACATCTGAAACTCATGAACTGGTTAGGTAAAGTTTACTTCTCCTCCCATTCACAGAACAAGAAAGGCACAGCCATTCTCATAAATAAGAACCTCCCTTTTATCTTGGAACCTGAAGAAAAAGATTCAAAGGGAGATTTATTTTTATTAGGGGGTTGATTCTTGAACAACATATTATATTATTATATATATATTATTTATTATATTTATGCCCAAAATAATGATTCACCCCAATTTATGTCACAAATGTTTTTGATGTTTAACCATCATTGCAATGGCCTCGGCTTCCTAGCTGTTGATTTTAACTGTATAATGAATGCCTCTCTGGACAAATCCTCCTCCGGAAACGCGAGGACATCTGCCATCCTTAAAAATGTATGTACAGATACTGGATTGATAGACATATGGGAAGTGTCCAGGCCCAGATGGGTTCCCATTGGAATTTTTCAAGAAATTCTGTCCAGAGATCCACCCAATTTTTATGCCTGCCATCAATGGTATTTTAATGGCAACCCGTCAATGACGTCATCGGGCCGTAGCTTAACAGAGTAACATGATGTGAACAGTAAAGTTACTAAATAGTCGTAAGCTTTCAAAGTCCACGGGGCATCATCAACCTGTTCACGTTTCTAACAGATTTTCCCCACTCAGCGACACACCCGCTGAGAAACCAACTCTGATCATTGGCAGCTCCATTTTGAGAAACGTGAATTTAGCGAAGCCAGCGGCCATAGTTAAGTGCATCCCTGGGGCCAGAGCGGGCGACATTGAGTCTTATTTGAAACTGCTGGCTAAGGATAAACGTAAATACAGTAAGATTGTTATTCACGTCGGCGGTAATGACTCCCGGTTACGCCAATCGGAGGTCACTAAGATTAATGTTGAGTCGGTGTGTACATATGCAAAAACAATGTCGGACACCGTAGTTTTCTCTGGACCCCTGCCAAATCTGACCAGTGATGACATGTATAGCCGCATGTCGTCATTCCGCCGCTGGTTGTAGAGCTGGTGTCCAGCAAACGATGTGGGCTTTGTTGATCATTGGCAGACTTTCTGGGGAAGACCTGGTCTGATTCGGAGAGACGGCATCCATCCCACTTGGGAAGGAGCAGCTCTCATTTCTAGAAATCTGGCCAAGTTTATTAGTGGACCAAATCCATGACAACCCAGAGTTGAGACCAGGAGGCAGAGTCGCAGTTTAACACACTTCTCTGCTCCTCCATTTCAGGAGTTACTTAGTGAAAATCCTATAGTGACGGTGTCTGCCCCCCGACCATCGAAATTATTTAAAAAGGTAAACAGAAGAGGAGCTGTGCATAAAAACCTTATAAAAATTAAAACCACAAGAGCAATAGTGCAAACGAATAGGAGAGTTAAATGTGGACTCTTAAACATCAGATCTCTCTCTTCTAAAGGTGTACTAGTAAATGAACTAATATCAGATTATGATATTGATTTATTTGGTCTTACTGAAACCTGGCTGGGTGATGGAGAATATGTTAGCCTAAATGAATCCACCCCTCCCAGTCATATTAATACTCACATTCCTCGAGGCACAGGCCGAGGAGGTGGAGTTGCAGCTATCTTCGACTCTAGCCTACTAATCAGCTCTAAACCTAAACTAAACTATAACTCATTTGAAAGTCTTGTTCTTAGTCTTTCGCACCCAAGTTGGAAATCACTGCAACCAATTCTTTTTGTTATAGTGTACCGAACACCTGGCCCGTACTCTGAATTCTTATCTG